GCGCGAGCGTTTGATGAGGTCATCATGAAGAGGGCTGCTCTTGATTCGTGCCTATCATCACAGGCTCGGGGTGTAACATTGGGCTATTGCCTCATGGCCACAGAATAGTTGCAGCCACTCCACATTCTCCACAGGTGAAAGACAGGTCCCCTTATCATCTGCCCTTTGCTCATGAAGCAAAACCTCCTCTAGGTCCTTCCTTCTTCTGGCCCAACCAAAGGGTTCACCTCCTGTCTCATCCACCGACCTGGGGCCCTTCTGCACCCCCAAAGCCAGTGGGACTGCCTTGCTTGGTGATTGGACTCTTCCTAGGGGACATGTGCGAAGCTTTTGCTTTGCAAAGAAAGCCTTTAGAAGGCAGAGGTGGGCTGAAACTTAAAACAGTCTGCTTCCAGCTCCCTGTCTCCGGTGCTGGGCCCCCGTGTGCCCAAGGTACAGCCCCCGCTGACCAGGAGTGCGGTCGTGAGCACCCTCTCCGCCGCGCAGGGCAGATATATTTTATCCTCAGCCTGCTTCATCCTTGCTGCTGTGTTCTGCCTGCTGGGCCCTGAGTCACCAAGATGACGTGCCAGCTCTGGGCAGCACTCCCTGCCCCCTTTGGCCAGGGCCCTGTGTGGAAGAGGACACTATTTATGCCCTCAGGAAAGGAAAGTCCACAGCCCTGCGACAGCTGGGGCTTGGCCATTAAGTGCTTCAGAGAGGCCACTGGTGCTGGGCCGGGGCAGAACAGGTGCTGCCCGCCCGCGGGTGGGGAGGCCCGGGAGGGGACCACCTACGTTCCAGAACAGGCTGAGATCAAAGCTGGCACCTGCGCGGCGGTCACCATCCCGTCCCCCATGGCTGACTCACCTGTCTGGGCGGCGGCTTTGTACCTCTGCCTGAGAAACTCAGAACATTGCCTGTGGAGGCTTTAGGGTTCCCACCCCACGCCCCGCAAATATCCCCTCCAATGCTGCAGCGTTTTCCCCTTGGGGAGACTGTGGTCAGAGACCACTCAGCCCACCCCATGCCGGAGCAGACCACGTGACTCGGCCACGTGGGGAAGATCAGGTGTGGCGCTAGGATGTCCCCGCCATTCTGGTACAGATGCGAAAACCACCTGCAGGACAGCCTGGAGCCCCCTCTTCGATTTTATCTTTAATTAAAGCAGCCTTCTAGTAAGCAGGCAAAGCGCGGCGACTTTTGAGTGTGCGTCGGGCTGCTGGGATATGGTGTGGGCTCCAGCCGCGTCCCGTGCCCGCGCACGTCCCCAATTACGCGACAGCTCACTTTCGGCTGAAATTCATTCTTCGCAGATTTCAAACGCCTCCTTCCCTCCACCCTCCAGCTTGGCCTTCACCCTCTTAATAAAACATTAAAAACGCCGGCCCCACGTCGCCGCCGCGGCGCGTTCCGCCGCGCCCCTGGAGCCCGGCCGCGCTCGGCGCTGGGCACCTCCTCGTCCGCGTGCCCGCCAGTGGCTGCGGCGACACAGCGCCCGGGACGCCTCTGTGATGTGGCCGCGTTCAAAGCGGAGGAGCGCGGCGTCTTTCACCGCCGCCGAGGCACCGCGCCTGCCTTTTACACTTGAAAGATCAGCGGGCATCCTCTGAAACGGAGCGCAGCGCCGGCCGAGGGGTTCTGGGCGGGAGAGGCCGCGCTTCGCGATCCCGGCTCATCAGCGGCTGGGCCGGCGGGGGAGGGGCGCGGCCCCCGCGCTTCGCAAGGACGCGGGGCTCAGCCTCCCGGCCAGGCGGCCAGGGCGCGGGTGGGAGCAGAGGGTGTGACACCGGAGCCCCCTTTGGCTAGCAAGACGGGCTCCGCTGGGCAGGGACAGGGGCCGCGGGGTGAGGCGCTGTCACCTGCCCTGGGTCCCCTCCCGGGTCTCCTCCCTGCCTGGCCAGCCTTCTGCCACTGTCTTGTGTCTCTCTCCACCTTCCCACCAAATACAGTCTGCAAGAAAGGTGACCCTGCTTGTGGCCGGGCTGAGTGTGGCCGCGCCCACCAGGCTCCTGTTCTGTGGTCTCAGCCGTTGGAGGTCACACAGGCCCTCTGCCTGGTCCTCTGGGTACCCTTGGTCAGGTTAGGCCCACAGGCCCACAGTGGGCACTGAAAGGCAAGAACTGACCCCACTGTGCTACCTGGTCATGTCCTGGCTCACCTGGCTCAGCGCTCTCTACTTCCGAGGGACCAGGAGCCTGGCCTCTGTCCCCCCAGTGCACAAGTGGGATGCTGCCAGAGATCCTCAGGCCCTGACCTCTGTCACGACCTGTGAGGCCCACTGGACCCAGGTGCCAAGGGCCCCCACACCCTGGCTGCCCTGTGGACCCCTCTCCTCTTAGAGCAGCCTCTGTTCCCACCCCTGGGTCCCTGGCATCTGCCTGCTGCCCATCTGTGAGGAAGATGAACAACTCTACCTGAAGCAGGCTTTTCCAGCAGTGGGGGCAGGGGCCGGCTGAGGAGCAGCGCTCCCGGGCATGCTGGGCTCCCTGCTTGCTGCCTGTGGACTTCGGGTGCAAGACCTGTCCTCTTGATGCTCAAGCCCTCATCTGTCGGGGTACCGGTGCCAGGGCACCAAGGGACAACACATCCTGAGCAGCTGCCACACACTTGTCCCTTTAGCCGATGCCACTGCACTGTGGCCCGCCTGGTCTTAAGGTAGGATTGCCTGGCCCTGGTTTTTTCCCCCACTCTTTTGAGCTGGAGTCTCGATATGTCATTTAGGGGGGCCTTAAATTGACTATGTAACCAGGCTGGCCTTGAACTTGTAGTGATCCTCCTGCCTCAGCCTCCTGACAGGGATTACAGGCATGTGCCCCACTCTTGGCAGGGCTGTGACTTTTCCTTGCTGTGTGAGTCTGGGAACCCTCTGAATCTCCCTGTTACCAGGGTCTTCATGTATGTGGGGAGCCGCTAAGAGCACCCACTGACGGGTTGGGGTCGAGCCAAGCAAGGTCAACTCCGAGCACGCCGTGCATAGGCTGCTGTGCTCTTCCTGGAGCCTTCTTATGCGCGTGTCCAGCCACAGAAAGGTGGCCCTGTTCCGCCTCTGGACAGAGCCCCCGCTTGGGCTCCTGGACCAACCCCAGAGAGAGCAGGGACAGGGCACAGGTGGCCCTGTAACCTTGGATGGCACCTTCTCATCCTCAGGGCCACTTGTCGCTATGACTTCACCTCTCATGGAACAAGTTGTTGTCCCGGAGCTACAGGGCCAGGACCCAAGGCCAGCAGTGTGCTCATCAAAGTGACTTCGGAGTCCCGTGGGGAGCTGGAGTCCAGGGGCGGACTGTGTGTGTGAGTGCACGCACGTATCTTTTAGGTTTCTAATTTTTAAACCTTGATGCTTGCTCAACACTACTGTTAACTCAGGGCCCTTCAGTTAGGGGGAAGAATGAGGGAGACAGAGAAACAGAGACAGGCAGACACAGAGACAGAGATGGAGAAGGACAGAGAGGGAGACAGAGAGAGACAGATAGAGACAGAGAGACAAACCTTTGAAACACTTGCAGGCTTGGATCTCTGCCACTCTTTGGTCACCATCAGATGGCCCCACCCAGCTTAGCCACCTATTAACATGCCTGGACACCTGTAGATGACATCGCTGGGGTTCTGGGACACTGCCACACCACAGTACTTACTTGATGCTCCCGAAGTCCCATCCTTGTCACTGAATGCATCTTTCCTCAAGACTGGGTTTAAAGCCTGCACCCCTGAGCATGGGGACTCCTTGTGCTGGTGAGCCTGGTAACTTCAGAACCGGGGTCCTGTCTGTTTGGCAGGCTTGAGATAGTGGGCTCACAATGTTACTCTTCTTGTCTTTTTGGAAGCTCCACACCACACGTGTTGTTTAATTTCCTGAAACTCACCAAGCGGGAAGGCTGCGCGCACCGTGCATGCACACGAGACCATCTGTGCAGAGCAGGGTTCGGGGTGTTTGGGTGTGAACAGGTTTTTACCTGTAAGCATTCAAAAACCTTTGCCCGTTCTGCTTTGATACAAGGAAGCTATTCTGGACTCTGTACTCAATCACCTTGCTACCCTACTGGGTTCTGATTCCTGGGACTTGACTCCCCAAACCCTTCTGCCTCTCCAGCTGGCTGTGAGCACCCAAGGGACCCTGAACCAGCCCCCATCCCACTGAGGCTTCAGATTCCCAGCCCGGCTGGCGGAGGATGGGTTCATATCACCTTCTTCCTGCAGCTGCAGCCCAGCTTGGCAAGCACGTGCTGAACCTCTGAGGATTGAGAGGGATGCGGACAAGCAGAGCACGCCCCCATGGACAGCCTGGGTCGTGCTATGTCCTCCACACAGTGGGGCTGCACTCGAGGCCTTCTGGGGAGAAGCTGGGCCTCGGGCACCTGCAGACCCGGGGCTGCCCGGGCCTTGTCACTCCAAGGGTGCACCCAGAGTGACCGAGCCCCATGACCCCCTCACTATCTGCTTCTGCATGCCTGTTGCCCCTCTGCAGACTGTAACCCTGTTAGGGACTAGGGAAGACCGGGCTTGTGCACTTGTCCCCGGCTTGGGGCTGCCCTGGACATCCAGGCACCCCTCTGCGTATATGTCCCTGACCTCACGGCTCAGCCCAACACGACTGCTGCAACCTCTTCCTAAGGGGCTGGCTATGCTCCGCACAGACCTCACAGCCAGTAAACCCAGGCTGGTGGGCACACACATGGTGGGCGACCAGAGCTGTCCCCAAAGAGGTCCGTCTGCGTGCGACTCACCCTCCTGTGTGGCCACCAACACACAGAGACGGCTCTACCCTAACACTACTGGCTCTTAGAGTCTGAATCTTGGCATCACCCTGCCAGCCTCGGAACTGCCCATCTCAATTTTCCAGGCAGAGATAACCAGAGGCCTGTAGTGAGGGGTACACACCCAGGGGGGGGGCGCTGTCTCTCTCCTTGCAGGGGAAGGGAGACCTCATCGTGGACAGGCACTATCAGCAAACTAAACAGCACCTTTTATTTTTAATAAAATAGTGGCGCATGAAAAATACTGTATATTACAAATAGGCACAGGCTGAAGCACCCTTCCTGGCCTGAAGAGAATGTGCTGGCAAAGTTTGTCTTTTTGGCGTTTTTCATCTATTCTGGAAATCATTTGTTCGACAATAGCAGGAGCTAGCCAGCCCTTGGGTGCTCCCGACAGAGCCTCTGCCCCTCTTCCCCTCCTTTCCAAGTCAGTCCAAACGTGTAGAACACTGGCTTGGTTTCCATTAAAAGCCACAAAATGTAACGCTAAAGGGTTTTTGAGGCCGGGCCTCTTAGTTCTTTTGTTAGCAGGGTTCTTTTGTTGTCTTTATGTACAGTAAATACTTGTTTCGCTTTATTTTCACAGAAACAGAAGAAAAATGTATTGCACATCTTTCAGACCCACACACGTTTAGTCCAGAGGAGCTTCCTGGCTTGGAGAGAGGCCTCCTTTGAGGGCTGGAGTTGACTCCATGTGACCGAGCCACTGGCGTGAGAAGAGACTCCCCGGGACCCTTCTTTTGTCATCACACCCACTGTGACACAAAGCAGCCTTCTGAGGTGGGGCGGGAGGGCTCCTCGCTTACCCCCAGGGAGAGCTCCTCCGGGCACTCAGGTGCCAGTGGGTCACCTGGCCACCCCAACATCCAGGTGCACCCTGCGGATGGGTCTGTAGTGTTCTCAACTCTGAGCCAACTACTGCTCCCCAAGTGAGCTGCTAAGAGGCCGTGGATGAGGAGCCCCAACCACAAAAACCAAGCGGAACAAAACCTTCCAAATACGTGTCCTGCTTTTTGAGTCCGGCGACATCCTGAATGTCAGGGTGGACACTTTTTATTTCTTTATATCTTTGTTAAGGTTTTATTTGTTAAAAAATACAAGCAAAGCCCCCAGCGCGGGCTCTGACTGCCTGCGCCTGTCCTCTCCCCTCACATGCAGGAAGGTGGCTGCACGGGGAGCTCAAACTTCCCCAGGTGTGGCTTTTGGGGGTGCTGGGCTTTTTTATAAATCCCCCCGCTGGTAATGACGCTGGCCGGTTTCCTGCGGCTCTTCCTCTTCAACCTGCGGCTGCAGACCTGCTGCCAGGACTGCAGGGTCTGGGATGTCCAGATCCACACCCCACTGGTGATACCCACCACCAGCAGCATGGAGACCTTGACCATGAAGACCTCCACAGCGGGGATGGAGGCGGCCATCAGGCAGTCCAGAGTCTTGGTCTGGTTGTCCACGCGGCAGCGGTGCTGCACGGCCAGCGCCTTCCAGTGCTCCATGTTGAGGCGCTCATAGAAGTAACAGGCGATCACACAGGTGGCCGGCACGGTATACAGCACCGAGAACACCCCGATGCGCACCATCAGTTTCTCCAGCTTGTCCGTGTTCTCCCCGCCAGTCTTCATCACCCTGCGGATGTGGAACAGGGCCACGAAGCCTGACAGGACGAAGGACGTGCCAACGACCAGGTAGCAGACCAGGGGCACCAGCACGAAGCCTGTCAGGGCGCCCACATCCAAGCTGCCCACATAGCACACGCCGGTGAGCTCGTCGCCCGCCACCCTACGCATGACCAGGATGAGGATGGTCTTCACGGCCGGGATGGCCCAGGCTGCCAGGTGGAAGTAGCTGCTGGTGGCCTCGATGGCCTCATGGCCCCACTTCCTGCCAGCGGCCAGGAACCAGGTAAGTGTGAGGACCACCCACCAGAGCGAGCTGGCCATGCCGAAGTAGTAGAGCACCAGGAAAACCAGAGTGCAGCCCGTGCTCTCCAGCCCCTCCTGGATGACATAGAGCTGGCCACTGTCCCTGTCGCACGCGATGCTCTCGGCCCCTGCAAAGAGGCGGATGATGTAGCCCACGGAGTACACGCAGTAGCACATGGACAGGAAGATGATGGGGCGCTCCGGGTACCTGAAGCGCGCGGGGTCGATGAGGAAGGTGAGAACAGTGAAGGCGCTGGAGAAGAAGCAGAGCACCGACCACACGGCCAGCCAGACCACAGCAAAGCGCTTGTCCGCCCGGCTCCAGTACACGACCACGCCGGGAGAGCAGAGCGGCGCGCACGACGCGCTCTTCTCCACGTGGTGGAACTTGCCCGGGTTGTCGCAGCCCGCGCGCCCCGCGGCCCCGTCCTGGGCCGAGTGCTCCTGCGCGCCGCTGCCTGGGGGCCGCTGCGGCCGGAAGAGTGGCGGCAAGAGGCCGGCGCCGCGGCTGGGCTCCTCGGAACCGTTGCTTGGCGCCTCCATGCACAGGTAGTTGGGGTCGTTCTGGCTGGGCAGCCGGCTGCAGTCCAGCGAGTCGGGCCACCTGAAGTGGAACTGCTCCATGATGGGCGAGCACTTGAGCCGGGCCTGCTCGCACATGATGCGACAGGCGGGGATGGGCGCGGAGACCTGCTCGGTGCACATGGGCGCGTAGAGCGAGCACAGGAAGAAGCGCAGGTGTCCGTGGCAGCCGTATTCCACCAGCGGCGCGAACTCGTGCAGCCGGATGGCCGCCTCGCGCTGGTTCTCGTGGCCCATCAGGTTGGGCATGCGCGTGCGGTTGTAGCCGATGTCCTTGCACATGGGGATCTCGATGGGCTGGCACTGGCCGTCGCTTGCGCGCTCCAGGTCCACCGAGCCTATGGCGGCGCACGAGCCCAGGACGTGCAGCGCGAGCCACAGGCGGGGCGCTGGGCGCGGCATGGCGAGGTCCGGGGCGCCCCCGCGGGGAC